TCCTCTGGACGGATTCTTCTTAGCTAAGAAGAATCCGTCCAGAGGACCTGACTTAACCCTGTCAGATTTATCTACCTGGATTATTAATCATGCATCAGGAAGCTAACAACAAATTCATGCAGAAACTGTTTTTATACATGTAGATGTTGGAGTACGTATTAATTTTACCCTTTAGAACGGAAATAAAAATATTTTTATGCTCACAGGATCCAACCAACGGCTATTACAACGTTAGAGCCACCACCCATGAGGAGGCTCGCCCCCAGACCCGTGTTGTCCACTACCAGGGAGAGTTTCGCCCTCCGAACCCCAACAGCGGACCAGCTGGTGCGGTTTCCAGCGGACCCCCAGCTGCAGCCAGCGGTGCAGTCCCCCCAAGCACAGTCCCAGGCTCAAGAGCGGGATGCTATGATCCTCGCCCGCCTTCAAGGATGTCCCACGCCACCTACGCCCATTTCAACACCTTCTCCAGAGCATCACAGAGCCAGCAGGCACCCCCCAACCCGGCTCTTCCATCTCCAGGAGATTACCCGGGAGCAGACTGTGGTCTGTTGGACAGCACGGCCCAACTGCCATATGACAACTATGGATACCCTTCCCAGTACGCCAGCTACCGGATGGGCTTTGCTCCCCCCATAGAGGAAGGGCCAGCCTATGAGATGTACCCAACAGGGCAAGGGACCGGACCAGGACCTGGACCGGGACAGGGGCAGCAAAGTCCTGAAACAGGGCTGGGGAAGTACGGAACCTCTACCCGCTTCTCGTACTCGTCTCCACCTTCTGACTATTCCCACAGACACACGCAACGAATGCAGACTCATGTGTGAGAAACGCACCGTCATGGACTTACGTTTGACATCAGCAGTATTATTACACATGAAGACACAAATCATTCTGTATAGATCTAGACTTAAATCTTCAAAAGAAGCGTTGTGGTTTTTCCACAGCCACAGCTGCATGGAAACTAATCATTTTCGGGATCAGTGACACGTTCCAACACCTAGCATTTAGCAGCATTACGCAAAACACAGTACGAAGCAATACATGCTGAAAGCAACCTTCACACACATTTTGCATTGGCCTCCAATCTTTTGTGTTTATCGGCCAATTAAAGCAAAAGTGAGAACTACAATCAAGAGAATGTAAAAGCTACGAGGAGGCGAGAAGAAGGGAACATTATGTGCACCCTTCATCTTGCTTTTAGACCATCATCATCATCCTGCTTCATGGTCCTTTTGCTCATCTCTGTAAATACAAAAAAATTGGGGTAATTTTGAAATTTCTTGTATAAAGCTCTATACTGAAATGCAGTTCAGAAATCTACAGCAAACCTCTTTATAAGCCACACTTTTGTGCATTTTTGACTGCAGAACATACACTCACAGATGTTTAACAACTTGCAGCAAATAGGCAGCTTAGACCACAAATACACTGCAGCTGGCACTTTCTGATCGCCCAGTCCTCATGAACCATGGCTCTTTTTCATGAGATTTATTTTGATTTGAGACGGACAAGCAACCGAAGGAGGTTCAGCCAGAGTGCCAGTTCTTTTGTGCCAGTGCACACACAAAAACTTGTCTTCTTTTTTTAAAAGCGTGGACAACGAGGTGCTCCAGACGATGAGATATTTCTACATCTGCAGTAAGAAAAAGGAGCAGTAGCAAGCGTCTCTGAGCTCCTACGCCTCCCCGTGTCTCATTTGTATCGTCATGCTTAATATTTCCCACGACATTGACAGTGTTTGTGAATCTGGGTGTGGTGGGAACGCCTTTTCATCCTTAAAAAAATCCTGCAATTTGTACAAAAAGATACCTCCCCCATCCCTCAAGTGTTTAAGGAAGTATCTGTTTCTCTCACTTGCACAATAGAATAGATTCTTTTTTCCATATTTATACTGAAATGTATAAAAAAAAAATGGCATTCAGAAACATTTTATAATATTTTTATAAGGAGTTGTGGACCAAAGGTTCAGCATTTTGGGTGACACTCACTTTTTAACGCGTTTGTGGAAACTGCGACCTTAAATGGTCCGAGTTCCTTTAAAATGAGGCGGTTTTTAACGCTGATGTCGTAGGCTTAAAGTAGAATAATCAAGAGCTTCACCTCAAAATGACAACATCCATCTGGAGCAGATATTTTGATGGATACGTTTGGTTGACATGAAGCTTTTTCTCTGGCTTCCAGTTTTATGACTCGACTGCCTTTTTTTTTCTGAAGTCGGTGACGACATTCAGAACGAACGTCGAACAAGCAGCAGCTCGATTTGAGCGTTTCTGTGTAGTTAGCGATGAAAAGGTTCAAATGTTGTCTGACATATCAAAGTGGGTCTGGAGGATAACGCCTAGCTCAAATGGTACTTTGTATGCTTGCAAAGGACGTATAAGTATGTTGATTTCTCTCAGAAAATGTGCTGGTGTCTCACGTCCCAGATTTTTCATGGCATCACGTCGAGTTTTGGTGTGTGTGATGGAACTTTTAGGCAGAATTTATAACTATTGAAAATAATTGACATCACTTGAAAATCTGAAGTTTCGAAACTTGCAGATCCCTCGTTCTGTTTGCTCAGCTTTGTCTCATCTCTTCCTGAAAACAAGACCGTCCTGCTTGCACGCAAGCTACTCATCACAACACCTGGAAAGGCTGGAATTAAGATCAGTTTGATATACTTTTTGTGTTTACTCATTTTCTTTTATCTGGTAAAGTGGATTGTTACAACCCTTGGACTGTGTCTAGAAGGTACAGGGTGTAACACAAATTGTAAACTAAACATAAAGCAAATAACTCAAACAGCCCAATTTGACATTATACAATAATTTATTCTTCTATTAGTCTTGGGCGTTACAGACAGAAGAGAAGCCATGAACTTCCACACACTTTGGATGTTATCATCCATTAAATGGCCGTTATTAGTTGTTATCATTCCCATACGTAGCGTTCAGACTGCTCCTCCTCTACCTCCTAGTTTGTTTAAAGGTACGTTCTTATCGCTGATACGGTCACGTGGTTAGGTTAAGAGTCAAAGGTCTGCGGGTTACATTTTGTACGGGTCTGGGGGTTAAAAGAATGCCCCTTCTGACTAGAAAACAGTCACCTCTTACCTAACAAAACAAAAACTACAATTCCTAAGCTCCCTGGCAACAAAACAGGAGAAATACTTCAAATAAAATGGCAGAGAACCCCTAGCAAACTTCCCATAAGCAAAAGTATTTAATCAGTAAAGTTCACAGAGGATCAGAAAGCTCTTCTCAGAGTTGTTAAAATAATTTGTACACAGCGTTAAGTTCTAAGTCAACCACACCACAACAATGATCAGGGCCAGTGGAAATGCCCAAAGAAAAAGGGGCGTGGCAGATCACTAACGCTTTTATGCAATCCACTGATGAGGAGTAAGTGATTCCAGGTGTGCAGCATGGTGCGACAGCAGACCTGCAAACAAGCAAAGGATGAGAAAGGTTGTCCTCTAGTGAGAGAAGCCCTAGAAATCAGTGGACGTAACATGGATTTTAGCCAATGCCATCAGTGGATTGTTTTAGCAACATTTCACTTTATAATCACCCACAGCAAAAAGGTCAATTTGCTCATGGTAGTAACCGAGAGTCATCTTCAACACATATTTGGATTGTGATATCTTGTTACAAATTCAAATTAAAAAATAATTTATTAATCCCAAAGGGAAATTAATTGTTGTAGCTCATCTTGATTTCATTAGAATAGTTCTAGATGCTGATGGCTTTGGGCATTTGGGAAACTGGCTGCAGATGCTGATCCATCCATCCAGACCCAGCAGACCTCTTAGTCCTCTTGGGCAACAGGACTGCCTGAATTCTGGGCAGAACTCCTCCCCGAGTGATGGGCATTTCTCCCAGCAGCCTGCCATGTCCCTTGTTGCTGCAGACTTAACTGCAGGTGCCGGGGGACGATCTTGGTCCTCCCGCCATCACTAACCACATTTTCCGCCACCTCCAAGTTCTCGGTGGTCTGGCACTCAAGTGCTGCGTCCA